TGAAGAAGAAGGGTTCATGATTATCTAACCTCTCAAATTAGTCAGTCCTGCGCTGACATTTTACAAAATTATATTGTTCAAATCGAGAGATTTTGTATTTGCTGAATCTGGTCGTCGTTGTGCGACTGGCAAGTAATCAATCATGTTTCACAAATGAGAAAACAACTAAAAGCCGGATGAAAATTATCGTGATTTTTTTTAATATTCTAGCAAAATAACTTGATAAACTATCCATCAGGCAACTTAAATTTCTCTGATATGCCGAAATTGTAGTCTCATATTCCCTCTACAAATTGGAACTTCAAGAAAAGGATTTCAAGTAGTTGGTCACAGTAGTGAACCTATCCTATATGTTTGTAATCAACAATTTATGTTTTTCAATAATTCTTCTACGAATTGAAACTTTGAGGAAAGGTTTTCGAGTAGTCTGTGACACAACTGAACTCTCATATGTTTTTAATCCACTATTTTCTGAATGTTTCATACAATTGGAAGAATTTGTAGTGCAAAAACAAAGAATCCACTACCTTGTTATAGAATCGAGTGTACAATATTGACTCTCATGCTCGCTCTCATCAGCTCCCACCAATAACAATCACCGGATACGCTAGTGCATATTCCATTCCATGACTTTCCACTCCTATTTCATTCCTCTACTGGGTTCCTCCTCATTCCACATTCCTGTTATATTATTATGTATTTATTCCCTTCGAATATACAAGACACGAGACGCGATACGAATGCCAACGAGATCCCAGTTGGAGGCTTTCGAGAGAGGCGGCATTCGAGCCATTCTAATTATTATTCGTCTGCGGAATTTCCATCCAAGAGTTATTATCTCCATTTACAAATGCTGAAAATGAAATGTAACATTCTGCCATTCTGATGGTCTGACACAAGTACTCTCTGTATTAGAGAATACGAGATAACAGTTGGGTGGTTATTGTTGATGGTTTTTTCTGCAACTGCCCTAAAAAGTTCAATTTCTTTGTGTAGTTTTTGTGTCTAGTGGTGTAATTATTGGTTATTGAAAATTATGAAATTCTACAGTTTTTCACGTAAAAGGGGTTCTCCTAGTTCATTCCGATAAAGTGTACCATTTATGAGAAAATCAACTTTGACATCAACTATGTTTTTCTCGATGTTTTTACACTTACCCTTCCCGTTCCCTTCCCCGCATGTGATGCCTCTGAGAAAAATTTTGCAATTTTGAATTCAGAGACTTATTCACCATCAAATGTTTATATCGTACACCAATTTTCGAAAATTTATTGTGAAGAATTTTGAAGTTATAGAAACAAAATCGTCTTTGAGGAGTCCTATTCAAAGGGGCTCAGCTCCCTTAGAAAGTATTTTCGGACCCTTATTGATATGAACTTTTTGCCTCATTTTCATGCAAGGAATACGCGCCCGGAAGGATGCCGCTTACTTTTGAATCACCCTGTATAGGGTGTTTCTGAAAAAATTCAAGGGGTAATTCCTTCAATAAAACGTTGGGGTTTTGTTGATAATAATATCGAGCTTCTTCTAGTACAATTAGATTCACAATTATATTTCCAGTGGCGTCACTGCAGTGGGTAAATTTATCGATATTCATGGTGAATGTCATTGTAAACCACCGGTTTTTCTGAGTTTCATATTTTTATTAGATAGAACTATTGAAATAACAACTTTTTTATACACTGTGTGATTTTTGTGTCCAGCTTAGTTTTTGAGGAAACAATGAAAATTCGATTTGACTCCAAATTTTAATGTAGATGTTTTCAAGATTTACTCAATAACCCCAATTAGAATCATTTTGAAATTTTGGGGCTTTTCCAGTCTCCATCCATACTGAATTTTGGCACCATGAAAGCTTATACAAGGGGGTTATGAATAAAAATAATCAATACTTCCAACTTCAACATCCTGTATCTCAAAAACGGAGCAAGTTAGGACACATGTTCATATGAACTTTATTTGCTAGAATTTTTTTATTTAGATGTATATTATGTTCTATAACCAAGGCAAAATATTTTGTCACCGTTATTTTCGAGGTTATTTACCACTTTAAGAGATCTTTTTTATCGAAGTAAACTTAGAATTAAATTTTGTTGGCTGGAAATTAAACGAAAGAAATAATTGCCTCCGAATTAATTGCGACCAGAAAAAGCATCATGAGTATACCTACCTATAATTCGGTAAAACAATTTAACGAAAAATGGTTTCAAGATTTGTAATATGATTGGGGAAGATTATGTAACACGCCTAACTACAAACTCCAAATCTATCCTAGACCATGTACTGACAAATAAAAGTTTAGACTGCCACATATCCATCGGAAACCATATAACAGATCATAAAATTTTAAATATATTACTCAAAAATAATTCAAAGACTCCAAATATCCTGAAAAAAACATACTACAATCATACAGTAGTGAATCAAAATATGTTTAGAGACAAATTCCAACAACTGAGAAACAGACATGAAATAAATAGCTTTGAGAAACTTTCATCAGCCATACAGGTTTGCAAAAATGAATCATCAACTCAACATAAAATAAAACATAAAGAAGGTAAGGATTGGATTACAGTGGAATTCATAAACTTGATGAAAAAGCGTGATAAATTATATTCGGAAAAAACAAAATACCCATTTGATCAGGAAGTAGCTAGGCAATTTCAAGTGCAAAAAAAAACTGTAGAGAAAAAACGAAAACAGCTGAAACAGGAGTATTTTGAAAAAAAATGGAAGGACACAGGTACTGATCAAAAGAAGCAGTGGAAACTCATTAACAATCTGATTAAAGGTGGTAAACAAAAGGGAAATATTAACAACATTGACTTTGAAGGGCAAATTCTAGATGATAACAAAAAAATAGCTGAACAAATGAACAGGTATTTTGTTAATATTGGAAGTACAGTAATAAATAACATAGAGCCTCAAGTAGACCCAACTGCTGGTTTTGAGGAAATCCATTGTGATTGCTCAATGTATCTTTACAAAGTTAAATCCCAAGAAGTTCAGGAAGCACTTGACAAACTAAATAAAAAATCAGCACCTGGTTATGGCAATATAAATACGAAAGATCTACTGCTACTCAAAGAGTACATTATACCAATACTGGTTAATCTTATAAATGAATCATTTAGGCAAGGTATATTTCCTGATATCCTCAAAATCAGCAAAGTCACACCTATCCACAAAACTGGTCCAAAAAACATTATGGATAATTACAGGCCAATTTCAGTAATCCCCACACTATCTAAGGTTATCGAGATTATATTGAAAAAACGTATTATCAATTTCATGACGGTGCATGTCAATTTTGATGAATACCAATATGGGTTCCAAGAAAATAGCAATACTTTGAGTGCAACTATGGATTTCGTTAACTATGTTGCTTCCTCGCTGGATGAAAAATACTTCGTTCTTGCAGTATTTGTTGACTTGCGAAAAGCGTTTGACGCAGTAGATTTTGATATATTACTTAGTAAGATTGAAAAAATGGGAATAAGGGGAAATGCTCTCTCGTTGATCAAAACATATCTGATAAATCGAAACCAATTTACAATAGTTAATGAACAATCTAGTGAAACCGAAAACACAACAGCAGGTGTGCCTCAAGGGTCTGTCCTCGGGCCTCTATTATATATACACTACATGTACTATCCTTAAAAAATGCTAAGCTTAACTGTAGATATTTCAAATTTGCAGACGACACCGTTCTTGTATATAAAGATAAGGAGATTGAACTACTAAAAACAATGATAAGCACAGATCTCGCACGCTATTATGAGTGGCTTAAAAATAATAAACTTCAACTCAACACTAAAAAGACAACATATATAATTTTCACACAGAAAAACAAAAATGTACAAAATCTCACAGTGGAGATAGGAGGAGAAGAAATATCTCGAGTTCATGATGTTAAATATCTAGGATTAGTAGTTGATGAAAACCTAAATTGGTGTAATCATATTAACCACATAGAAAAAAAAGTAGTACCTATGATAGGTGCCCTATATCGCTGCAGAGACTACCTAAGCCCATCTTCATTACGCCAAATCTACAGTGCATATTTCTTATCAATATTTACATATTTAATTCCAATATGGGGTACATGTGGAATAACACTTTTCAATAGAATTAAAGTTCTTCAAAATAAAGTTATCAAAATCTTATTCAGGTTAAATTATAGAACATCAACAGATGCAATATACAAAGAAACTCAAATCCTACCAATTCAAGACAACTTGAAAATTGAGCAAGGGAAATTTGCATATAAGGTTATAAGAAATGAACTTAAATGTAATACCAACTTCACTTTTGTTAATCAGCTACATGATCACAATACCCGAACACAAAATAATATCTTCTTAGAACCTGTGCGTACCAATATGGGCCTAAACAACCCCATCAGTCAGTGCATGAAGACTTACAATACTCTTCCCAAAGAAATAACAGATAGCCCAAATGTTAGTATTTTTAAGAATCAGATAAAAAATTTCTATACTCATAAACTGAATGAGAGACCCACATAATTTTAAGTTGAGCAATGTAGGTTGTAGGTATATTGTAAACATTAGGGAGAGTTGTGATTAGATAGGTAGGTACATACTGTTTCCGCATCCTATGATATTATAGTTGATATACATATATAATCAATTTCGAATTGTAATTGTATATGTTGCAATTGTTTTTTTAGTAAGTTTTCCGAGACCAGCATTAGATGCTGCTTTGGATAAACCTTTGTCAGATACTGCATTAATATTTAACATTCATTTAACATATCTGTATATCTATATATTATATTTTTTTTTGTAGCACTATCTGAATAAAGTTCTTGAAAAAAAGAATACGTATATCACATTATTGTTGATGTTTTTTTTTCAATTCCTCCACTTGAATATTCTCTCAAAATCGCGACATCTCCATTTCGATCGATCTTCACAGATTAGATACTAGACAGATAAGAATGATAAGATACTGAGATACTTTTCACATCGCAAGTAAGTAAAGCCTTTTTGTTAACATTTTTAATGGTCATGCTATTATTGTGAGCTTTCGAGTATATTTTTTTATCTGATTGATTTTGTATTTTGTTTTCGGTTGATTGATGTATTCGGGTAATCTTTTTCCTCCTTGTCACTTCTCGGTGATCTGTAATCGTCGAAGGATGAAGTCAATGAAATGAAGTGTCTTGTTCCGCTTTAGCTGAAAGGAAGTATTCCGTATCGTATGGCATATACTGTGCTGAAACCGAGGCAGAAACCGTTCTAGACTGAGAGACTGAAACATAATAAATCTTTTCACTTGGTAGGTACACCATTTCTCTTTCTATGCTTCTCTCATCTCTCTCACTCTCTCTACTCTACTGTGATAAATTGGTCTCAAGGCTACGTCGGACGTTGACTTCTAGTACTAAACTTGTGAATGTCGTCAAATTTCTTTCTGGACGGATTATTTTAAGTTATGTTAATAATAATAAATAACTTACGTAGGTACCTGCAATAGTTGGCAAGGAATATTGTGTTTTTAGTTTCGTGACACAACATGACTAACATCACATTCACATTAGTTATACAATATTGAAAAAAATAACTAATATACACTGTGTCCCACTTACCATGCTCACCATGGGTATCTTTTTAACGGTGAGAGATACGAGGTCGGTTAAATGACACCAAATGTGGAGTTTGTCAAGGCCAACTATAATGTGAAAAAATATTTTGATGAAATCTGTACGTTTTTGTTTTATACGTAAAAAACAGATTTTGATCATTTTCATGTCTACTCCGTAACTTCTTTATTTATGAAAATATTCAAATAGGAATTCCAGCACATTCTCATGGCAGTTTTTCAAAGTGATTTCGAAAAAAATATGAAATTTATACCAACTCTTCTAGAGTTTGAGATATCAGCATCAACTTTAGTTTTTCAAATGTGCTCACTATGACTTAGTTACAAATAACTTTTTTTTCTCTTACAGATGATATGTCGCAGTAATAGTTTTGTGTTGATAACAACGGAGTTATCGTCATTTATACAAAAACAAAAAATTATTTGGAAGCCGCCATATTGAATTTATAAATTTCAACAAAAAAATCATGATCTCCGACCTCAAAAACCCCCACTTACCAATTTTGAATGGAATCGGACCAAATCTTGTCCGCCATCTTGGAGCAGCCATTTTTTTTTAATTTCAACAATCAGTGTTTTTACCTCGGTTTTTACCGAGTTTTTACCCATCGACCAACCATCTAACCTATTTTTTTTCCTCCTTTCAGGTGAAAAATGCAGCGTAGCGAGCGGTCGTGCGCCCCCGTCGCGACGCTGCCGGCGCTCGTCCCCCCCCTAGGCGGGTCCGCCCCCCGCCCCACCTCATGGCGCCCCCAATGAGATCCAGCTCGCACGAAGCGGGCCACCGAGGAGCGAGGGTGGCGGACCCCACGGAGGCCGACCCCTCCGAACACCACCCTGCGGCACACCCACCGCCACCGCCTCTGACGACGACGAACCACCAGCAGCAGCAGCAGCCGGCCGCGGCCAACTTTGAGTACGATGACAACGAGTGGGACATAGGCATAGGCGATTTGATCATCGATTTGGACGCTGACATCGAGAAAACCACAGAGGTACTCTACTTTCTCCTATTTTTTACAAGTATTTGATAGTCATTGGACGTCTTTGGTACTCGTTGGTAGTTATTGTTAGTTGCTGGAGGTCTTTGGTAGGCATTGGAAGTCTTTGAAAGTCACTGTGGAAGTGTTCGCTAGTCACTGAAAGTATCTGAGAGTCACTGGAAGTCTGTGGTACTTGTTGGTGTTCGTTGGAAGTCATTCGAAGTCGCTGGAGGTCTTTGGTAGTCACTGGAAGTCTTTAACAGGCACTGGGTGTATTTTGCAGTCATTGAAAACCATTGGAAGTCATTGGAGGTCTTGAAGCTCTGAAAATATTTGCTCATTGGTAGTAACTGAAAGTCATTGGACGTATTTGGTTGTCATTAGTGGTTATTGTAAACCATTGGAAGTATTTGAAAGTCACTGGAACTATTTGCTAGTCACCGAAAGCCACTGAAAGTCTCTGGAAGTCACTTGTTGGTGTTCAATGGAAGTCGCTGGAGGTAATTGGTAGTTACTGGAAGTCTTTGGCAGGAACTGGCAGTCTTTTCTGTCATTGATATCCATTGGAAATCATTTGTAGTCATTGCTTGTTATAGTCTTTGAAAGTCACTGGACATTTTTGTTAGTCATTGTAAGTATTTGGTAGTCAAGTCTGCTCATTGGAAGTCTGGAAAACACTTCCATTACCATCACCAGCAGCAGCCGGCAGCTGCCAAGTTTCAGTACGATGACAACGAGTAGGATATCGACATGGGCGATTTGATCATTGATTTGAATACTGACATCGAGAAAACCACAAAGGTACCCTGCTGCTTCCTATTATTCAGCTCCTAGTGGTCGCAATCACTAGACAACTTCAGCACCTAACTTTCTGTAGGGTAAGTCTAGTGTACACTTTATTGGAGGTCACTGGAAGTGACGGAAGTCTTTGGTAGTCACTTGAGTATTCAGTAGTTACTGGAAGTCTTTGGGAGTCATTGAATGTCACTGAAAGTATTTGGCAGTCATTGGAAACCATTGGAAGTCTTCGAAAGACCTGGAGAACCTTGGGAGGTAGTCATTGGGAGTCTCTAGCAGGTTGAATTCAATGCCATCAAAACAAGCTTGTATATTTCTCCCAATATATCCTTATTTCCCCTAACATCGGGAGTTGGTTTCCTGAGGTACCACTCGCCCCATACCGATAATCTCTGGTTTGCAGGTGGTGAATATGGCGACGAATGCGGGCCCAGGCGGCCCGCAAGCCTCCAAAGCCCAAGCCACGGCGAAGATGCACATCGAGCACTCCGCCACCACCGCCGACAAGGGTCTCAAGATGAAAATCAAACGCACCAAACCGGGCACCAAAACCTCCGAGGCCAAGCACGAGATCGTCAAGTCCAACGAACTCACGAACGGCATCGCCGCCCTCGACCCCACCGACCCGAAGGCCGGCCCCCAAGCCCCGGGGGGCGTGGCCAAACCCGCCTCCCCGCCGAACGCGGCTGCCAATAAGCCTCGTTCTTCCGGTCACCGACGCGACAAGACGCGAGACAAGCACTCCTCTAGCTCCGCCCCGCTGGCCGACAAGCCCCTTCCCAAGGCGGGGCCGGTGGCCACGCCCACCAGCGTGGCGAGCGTGTCGGAGATGAGGGCGACCGCGCCCGGTCCGCCCAGGACGGGGGCGGGGCCGGGGCCGCCTGCAGGGCAGGGCCAGGGGGCGGGACCGTCGCCTGGGCCGCCGCAGAGTCCGGCGGCGGCGACGGCACAGGGGTCGGCGGCCAAGCCGGAGCAGGCGAAGGGGGCGGGGCCGGCTGGGGAGGCACCGGCGATAGGTGGGGCGGGGGGCGTGGTCGGGGAAGACAGGGGGACGTCGCCGCCTCCGGCCAAGAAGCTCAAGACGGACGGCAAGGTGAGTGACATTCACATTTTTCACATTCACAAATCTGATATCGAATTATTTCCTTATGTGTCTGAATAGTGTCATTAAATTTTCTGGGATTTTGAGAGAAATCAGAAAAAGATTTATCTCGACCTGTATTGCGTAAAAGATCGCGGAAACTGCTAATTTTGAAAATCTATAGGGAAAATTCTATACTAACTATCGAATTATTTCTGACGGACCTGTATGAGCCTACAGCACTGCTACCTAGTTGATTTCGAAAATTTGAAGGAGAGGTACATTTTCTAGCTATACCAATACCAGAGATTATGGGGGAATGTATAATCTCTGCCAATACCAAATACGAATTTTTTTTTTTTCACTTCACCATCATAACAGTGATCACGTGACATTTGTCAAAATTGATTTTCAGGTTCGGAAGTGCCTCATAGATCCCCGAATTTTTTTATATATCAATAATAAACTTTTTCCTCATTTGATACGGACTTTTAGATGACACAGTATGATTCCTTTTCAGCTATATTCTCACTATGAGAAAATCTATGAAGTTGAACATAAAATGCGTGTTTTTTGAATGTTTGTCATTCTAGTTCTTGTCTCAATAGGTTCAGAGCTGTTCGATTTGGTTTCAATAAACAAGTGAGATCGTGGGATACGATAAAAACTCAAGAGTCAAAAAATATTGTACCTGATCTTCTTTGCTTTATCATAAAAACACAAAAAAAGTTCAATAATCTCTCAATCCAGCGACCTTGATAGATGCTAATAAAAAAAACGAGCTTGTCGATAAACAGCGAAAAAGTCTCTCACGAAACCAGTCTCGATTTGCAGAACCATCGTTTCAGAGAGACTCTCTGAAGTGTTTATTTTTATGTGTTTTTATCATCCGCCCGATATCGAGTTGACAAGCGGAACGGAGAACAGCTTCTCTTGAGAAAATCCAGAGAAAACTTGCTTAGGGACCTTCGAAAAACTCGGAGTTAGGGTATACTGAATTCGAGGCTAAATTGGCTATTTCTCCTAGTATGGAATATCGCGGAAATGAACTGAAGGCAGTGGATATTTTTGTCACAATCACATTTTATTCGAACTCTAAGCAGCACTCGAAGCAGCAGTTCAAATTGGTTCAACTTATCTAATAAGCTTCATTGTTTTGGATGAGAAGTTTCCAATTGCTGAGAAATATTCTCCATTTTTATGTTGAAAACAGAAGCCGAGACAGGAGCAGATTCGCTCCAGAAACGTCCAAAGCTAATACAGCTAAGTAAACATTTTGTATTTTCCGGTATTTTCCAAACATTTTTCATAAATGGTGTCAGTGCAGTGACTATCGAGGTGACTATCGATCAAATTTCTCTTCTAGGTTTCTGATAGTGACATTTTTAAACCCAGTGACACTTTGAGCAAATTATCTGATTTGATCTTACTACAAATACAAGGTGTTTCAGAATATGTGGGCAATCTCCCGGATTCAGATAGAATACTAGAATACAATTTTTTTTCTACTCTTGATCGATATCGATAAATTGATCTATTTTAGAAAAACATTTATTTTTGTTTACAATAGCAGATTGCTCATCTATTATGAGAACACGTCACGTCAAGAGTTGTGAGACATAATTGAACATCACTTAAATGACCCAACAGCTGATCCTCAACTGTTCAGAAGAATAATCCATTCTTAAAAAAAGAATATAGAATCGTGTATTCCTCGAAACGTAGGACATTTTGAACACTGTAACTGATTCAATATTTCATGTTTCTCAATTTTCTACTTATGATTCTTTGTTCCATCAATAGCTTTAGAAAAAGAATAATTTTATTGTTTTTGAACCTGAATAAATAGGTAATTGAACTCAATAAAATTCATTTTATACCAGCATCATTACTACTCCATTATTTTCAAATCGAAATATTCCGAAAACGGAACATAGTATCGAGTTTCACCAGGAGTAACTTTTTGGTGTAAAATCGAATGATGTTTGAGTTCATATCATATTTGGATTGGAAAATCTAACCTCAAAAAAGTTATGTTCAAAACTACTCGGTACGAACCGTGTAACTAGCGCCTTCTATGAGAGTCAGATATAAAAACAAATTCATGCGATGTGTCAGATTTCAAGAAACATCCATACAAAATTTCATTACAATGGTGCCAGTAGTTTCGGAATAATCGTGAAAAATGTATAAAAAAATAATTTTTTCAACACCTTGTATCATGAAAACGGATGCCGTTACGACATTTTTTCACTGAGCAGACCCAACTTATTTTGCAATCTTCTACCTACCCTAGCAAGGGGGTTAAGTTTTTTTTGAAACACCCTGTATATTTGCTGTCAACCCTTTCAAGTTAATCCGGTACACCGTATTTTAATGTAGATATTGTTGCCTAATTTCCGAAAATGAAGGATCTGTTCTTGATGAGTGTGCGAAATTTCAATTTAAATCGATCTCTTGAAGTGGGTCAAAATCACGTTAGAAGATTTCGTTAATACAAACATACATACAAAGCTAACAAAAGCGAAAAGAAATGAAACTCTCTATTGTTCTTAGGAATCTTAGGTAGGTAAAATGCTAAGGTCTTGATGCTCCTCAATTGAGAGTTCACGAAGAAACAAGACTTGCTTTCTCTTTGTGATTTTTCTCGAGAATCTATAGATTTAGAAATGATTGGAAATGATCAACTATCCGTTTCCCGTTCACGATTTTATCGACCGAGTTTCCTATTAAAACCGACAAATAAAAATCGTCCAGTAACGATTATAATTGCATTCCGCTCGTAGTATAGATAGGTAGATCGAGTCTGTTATTATTCCATTTCAATTACCTCGACCGTATATTAAACAGAGTCGTTAAATCGCGTGTGATACGGCTAATTTATCGATTGCACATGCATACACAAACATACAGGGGGATCGTGATGTCGGGGTCATAGATATACCAACTCATTTTTCATTCTTCAGTTCATGGAATCAAAGAACCGAAACTGTAAAGTGTGTTTTTACTGAGTCAATAAAACCGTGTCCAAGAAAGAACTGCAAGTCCTTTTATCTTCCATTCGACTTCGCGGATACGTATTTTACTAAACAACCACTAAATTCGCAATTTTTTGAAATCAAATCACAGAATTAGACTGACAGAAGTGACATCAGATATTTGATTACTTCAAAAGAATGATAAAGATGCCTACAACGCAGGTGTCCCTACTGTTAAAAACTTAAAACTTCACGTCGATAATTTTCAGATTTCAAAATAATGTATTATCATCTCAATATTGATTCGTCCTTTCTTCTGTCACAGAAAAAAATAGTGTAGGTATTATACACGGGAAAAATATTAGATTTTAGCTCACGGTTTTTTGTCTCCTAAATAACTATTTTTCTATATCGAACAAATATTTATTTACTGGATCCAAAACCCAAGAATTGTCCCTCCCCAAAAACATAAAAAGATTCAAGAATAAGAGAAACTGTATGTAAGTTGACATAATGCTTGTCTAAACTCAGTATTAGAAGGCCAATCAGATCGTGTGCGAAAAATGTGTTGGTAGACATTATTATATGTCAGGTAGATTGAGAATGATCGATTATAACAGCATCCCAATTTTCAACTAATTGCAAGTTGGAAAAAATCACTCCCTGTATATGCTTCAAAGCAAAACTCAGAAGAATGCACGCGGATTCTCTGATTTCTCTCATGGTTGATCATTTCACTCCCACCTTGTATATTTATGTCTCATGTCATAATTAATTTCGTCGGGTCAGTTCAAGATAAGAGTTACCCTTCTGGACGTCGGATATTCTGTATATTATGTTGCGTCGGAACAGAGGACGTGGCAACGTCGTTCCTGGCAGACCCAATTGCAATTAATATAATCGACGATGGTTAATTACCGCGTTTAAATATTTAAATTCCCCTGGTGATAAATTCGTTTATGCTTCAACGAGCAAAATAAATTGTGTCGACATCTAGAGACACAAAAAAAACTTGGCGATGTTGAAGTTAATGGCGTTGATTAGAACATTGAACGATGCCAAAATAATTTCGAATCACTAAGGATAGGCACTGACGTATACTATATACCGTGTGTCCACCTTCCTAAAAATTTTACAGTGACGAAATAAAGTTTTGGGAATGCGTGTATAATAATAATATATAAGATTGTATTCTTCATAGACTGCATACGCCATTTCATTCGTATGAACGACACCAACTTTCAATTTTTAAATAGAACACCTCGTAGAACACCCTGTATATTATTCATTTTTTGACTCAAAATGAACATTCTGAATGCAACTATGTGCCGTTTGTCACTATTTATTATAAGTTACTTAAGGTCTTTTAGTGTATTTGGAAGATATTTAATTTAAAGTTACTGGAAGTCTTTCACGTGTTTGAACATAATTTGAAGTTGATGATAAGCTTACCGATATAATGTAGGAGTCATTCGAGAGTCATTTGAAGTAACTGGAAGTATTTTCGTATCATTGGAAGTTCTTTAAAATTACTGGAAGTATTTTATGTGTCTTTGGAAGTAATTTGGAGCAAATGAGAAAGCCTCGTAGAAAGCTTACCAATAGAACTGAATTAAATATTTCTGAAAGTTTTCGGCAGTCTGATGGAACTTATTGGAAACCTTGGGAATCCTTTCACTATCTGATGAAGTTATTTAAAGTTACTGGAAGTCTTTCATGTATTATTTGAAGTAATTTGATATCAATGAAAAGCCACGTGAAAAGCTTACGAATAGAATTGAATTAAATATTGTCATCAGCAATCTTTGATGGGAGTCATTAAAAATCACTGGAGAGTCATTTTCAGTAATTGGAAGTCTTATATATTCCTTTGGGAGTCATTCGAAGTTACTATGTCTAAGGAAGTCATTATAAGTTACTGTAGGTATTTTATACCATTAGAATTGAATTGAATAATTGAAAAGTCATCGGCAGACTTTGATGAGAGTCATTAGAAATCACTGGAATTCATTTGTAGTTAGTAGAAAGTCTTTT